CAAATAAGTGAATGATGCGTAATTATAACGTTAAAAAATTAACTAAGTTAAAAGTATACAGTGACAGAGGCTAACAAGATGGTAAACTAGAAAAAAAGAAAGAAAACTGTGTGCAACATATAAACGATCTTAAGCAAACAACATTTAATAAATGATCAGATTTCATAAGTTGTGATAATTAGTTTAAATAAATCATCTTTGTGTGTTCACCTCAGCCTGAATTACTCCATGATTTAGAAAACCTTAATTTTTTAAACAAAGGAATTTCATAATACCATCTTCTTTTAGTAATCAACCTGCTGTTACGACAGCGGAAGCCACATGACGCTAGTAACACGTCATGATATTCTAAAAAGATCATGTCTGTTCGTGGCAACTCTGGTCTTTTCTACGCGCCCTCTATTCTTGTATATAAGTGCGCCAGATAAAGCGAAATGAATAAATCAGAATAGAATTGCAGACAGACAGAGACGGACAATTGAGTCAAGCGCGGTAGTGACCGTAAGTAAAGTGCATGAATCTTTGTGAATTATAGTGTGTGTTGAAGTTAAAGTGACAGTGGAAATTAAGTGTATTGCAAAGTTGAGTTGAGAAAGAATAAACTAGTTTTATTTAAGAAAGGACTTGTATCGCTGAAGTTTATCGGAAAGAATTTCTACGGAAAATTAACAAACGAACACAGAGACGTAACAAATTGGTGTCAGAAGCGGGATAGGAAATAAATAAAAAACAAGAAGAAGATGGAAACGAGAGGTGGCAAATCAAACTACAGCTTAGTAGATTTGATGACAGCAATAAAAGAACAGCAAAATAAACAAGAAGAGAGATTACAGCAGTTGTTGGAGAAAAAAAGAAAATAAATAAGTAGAAAGAGAAAATAAAAAAGAAGAGAGATTACAGCAGCTGTTGGAGGAAAAAGATAATAAATAAGTAGAAAGAGAAAATAAAAAAGAAGAGAGATTACAGCAGCTGTTGGAGGAAAAAGAAAAGAAACAAGAAGAACGAGAAAATAAAAAAGAAGAGAGATTACAGCAGCTGTTGGAGGAAAAAGAAAAGAAACAAGAAGAACGAGAAA